ATGATTTTTAGCTCTCACAAAATAATTGATTTTTTTCCTTTAATTGTTTGTTTTTAATTGTTTATTTGACACTGTGGAATTTCTTGGTTTTCGCAGGAATTACAAATGGAAAACAATTTATTGACAACGCTCCCTATCGAGCTGGGCAAGTGCGTTCACTTGGAGATATTATGCGTAGAGTGTAACCCCCTTTTAGCACCACCAAGTGGAATTCTCGTGAAGGGTGCGGCGGTCCTGCTGGCATATCTGCGGGCCCAACTGGTTCTAAGATCGAGGCGGAAGATGTCCAAGAGAAATGCAATAACATCACTGAAAGAGGCACTCATGGACTGAAGGAAAATCTTCAAAATGACAAAAACTGATTACTCGTCGAGTCGTCGTTTACATGCCAGAAAAAAAGTGCCAAACTCCGTCTTGTACATGCCTGTTATGATCCTGGCCAATTTCGAAGCACACGTCCATGGGAAAGTACAATGCCGTCCAATTGCAAAAGGAAATGAATGAACTTGACAGGAGAGAGAGGGAAAGAAGAAGAAGAAGAAGAAGAAAGAAAGAAGAAGAAGAAGATGTACACCAGCAAAGACCAATGATAATTCCCGTCTTCTTCGCCAACCACTCCTCCTCCTCCTTTTCTCCTCCCCTCTTTATTCACAACAAATAAAAATAATAATCTTGAAATGGCTGAACCAGAATCAATGTCCGAATCCCTCTTCTACTGCAGGTACAACATGAGGTCCACCATAGCCATGACCACCCTTCTCCTTCCTCTTCCTGAAGGCCGAGGCTATGGTGGACTGATAGGGCCTTGCCCTGATGTGCAAAAGACAACTCAGAGCAGCTATGGCTGCTCCGGCTCAGGCCGCCATGCCTGACTCTGTCTCGAAGCTTCTTGGTGTAGCTCTACCCCACTGGGGCCTTCTTGCTGCAGCGCCCACCAAGGTGATGAAGATGATAACCACCACACCCAGGTAACCACCTCTGGCACTTCCCTTTCCTAGTCCTCGTCCTCCTCCTCCTCATGTCCTTGCTCCTTCCTCAGCAGCGCCGCACGCGCTCCAGCCAGTGTGTCGCGAAAATTGCACAAAGACAATGAGGAGGTTCACTTCGCTCCTCTTGGAGATACCGGCCTGCTTGCCTCTTGGCGAGTGACTTCCTAGGCCGTGTGCCCACCAAGCAACCGGTGCCTCCTCCTTTTTGGAGGGAAACATCATTTCAGACTCTGATATTGCCCGTACAGGCTCTAGACTCAGACTGGTTGGACTGGTACCCGCCTAAGCCTAGCCTACAACTATTGGGCCTCTAAAAATGCCAACTTTGTCTTCTTTTGCTCGGCCTCGAGTACCCGGCACATCTACCTCTTCCTGGTGTGGTACCGGCCTACCTGCTACTTGAGTGTTTTTCTGCTGTTCCAAGTGTCATGGGTCTCTTCCCCGCCACTTGAGTGTTTTCCCCACTGCAACCATCAATGTCACGGCCACAGGTAAGTACCAGCCCTTTGGGCCTTCGGCACGGACAAGTACCCTTGCAGGTCACACACAAACTCAAATCGACAAGCACTCAGACAGGCACTCAGACCAGCAAGCAAGCACGCACACACTCAAACTTAGAAAGCTCAGTAACAAGCGGGAAACTCAGCAAGGCATACATTCCATTGGCAAAACTCAGAAATCAGCTGTGTCACAGTCCGCGTTTGGCAGGTCCTAACACTACCCCCCTCTCAAGAGTGAGGTCCCTTTGATCGAGTAACTCATTCTGAGTCCCCGACAAACGTGTGGTAAGCGAACATAGCGAAGAGATTTTGTGAGTACTCAGTAGCAGTGATTTTGCAAAGATTTTGGGAACACTAACTGTCGTTCGTATGCTTTCACAACGCGAGGTACGCTGCGCAGCAGTTCCTTCTTAGAGATCCAATAGTGATCATCCAAGAGGTGGTACGTGAAATGGACCTGATATTGTCTGTTACTTCCCTTCCCCATGTGACTTTTAATCCTATAAATCTCATGACCGCCATTGATCGCACGAGGGATCATCTCCTCACGATATTCAAAGGATTTAGCATCACGGTATATAAAGAACTTTGATGCATGGAGGACTTGGTACATGTGCAGATGAGGAGGCACAACAATTATGTATGAAGGACCGAACTTATCATTACCAATCACATCCAAGACTTCCCACGGACCATAATAGAGAGGGAAAAGTTTGTGTGACACCCCCTCTTCCTCCGAGAATTCTGACATTTTGACCCGGACATAACTTCCCACCTCAATTGTCGATGGTGTGCACTTCTTATTCGCATGATGGATCATGGCGTGTTGTCGCTTGGTCATTTCTGAAATGACAACTTTGAGCAAGTGATCATACTTGGCGCTGAAGCCAGGCCTGCCAGGTGTCAGACCGGCTGGTGGTTCAGGGAATAAGTAGGAGTGTGGATTATGGATCTGCCAACCGTAATGCCGCCTGTTATGCCGCCAGGCGTCATGCCTGTGAACGAATGAATGAAGTTGTTGCATGACCCCTTGACCGAATACAACTCTCCATCCCATGTTTCCTAATCCGGGATAATTAAGGCACGAAAAAGTTAAAACGCGGTCTGGTTAATTTCCTCAGCTAAACTGTCGGTTTCGGGATGTCGGCTAGATGTCATGCTTAGTTTGAGGCCAGGGAGTTGGGTCGTGATGTCCTTCCAATCGGCATTAATGAAGCACGGTCCCGATCACTCACAAGGGTTTTCGAGGTGCCGCATTGCAGAATGTACTTCTGGTGGAATTCTTGGATCACGAGTTTCGTTATCCAACAATCACAAGGGAATCAGATTCATAAACTTTGAAAAGTGGTCAACAATCACCATCACTTGCGAATCGCCGAACACCCAATCTTACTTGTTTTTTCTATATCTGTGAAGCCGATGGAGGCGGATTTTTCGGGACCGTTGGGAATGGGAAGGGGTTTGAGCAGCCCCATCGGCTTTTGCCTTGATGGTTTGATTCGTTGACAAACTTGACACTCAACCACAAACTTTACAGCAGATTCTTTCATACTAGGTCAATCAAATTGTTACAGCAGGTTTCCATAGGTTCTTGCAATGTCGAAGTGTCCACTTTGACCATGAGCCAAATCCAAAAAATGTGTGTGGAGGGGCTTATGGTTGGGTACACACAAACGTGCTCAAGCATTGGACGGAGGTCCCGATCCTTGGCAGTTTGCTCCACGAGTTCCTCCTTCAGTTTCTTCCGGAGGTTATATGAGGTAACAAGGCAAGTCATGTACTCATGACTCAGGGAGTCGGGGCGGCAAGACAATGCATCATCAACTCGATTATAACAGCCCTTCTTGTGTTTTAAATCAAAATTAAAAATGTCAATCTTATAAAATCAGCAAGTCAACGTAGGAGATAAGGTAGTTTGTTCCTTGATGCACTTCAAGGTCTCATGATCTAAGAAGACTTTGAAGTGGCATCCCAAAAGATAGTGTTTCAAGTGGTCCAATGCCATGCGCAAAGCATGAAGTTCGCCCATGTAGGTGGAAGTAGCTACCTTTTTGCTCGGCGTGCTTTTCCTGTAGTATCCGAGCAGGCGCAAACCATGACCATCATCTTATTGCAGCACTGCGCCAAACCCATACTGGCTCGCATCCATACTGACTACGTATGTGAGTTTGAATTTTGCAATGCGGAGCACAGAATCATTTACCAAGGCCTTTTTCAAGGCTTGAAAAGTGGTTTTATATGTCGCATCCCAAGCGTACGATACATTCTTACTTGTTAATTTTGGTAGCGGATGGACAATGATAGGAAATTGAGGCACAAACTTCCTATAGTATGATTTAAGACCAAGAAAAGAACGCAATTCACGATTGTTCGAGGGCTGATGTCACTTTTATATGACCTCAACCTTGATTGCCTCAGGCTCAAGGTCTGCAGCAGACAACTGATGTTTAAGATAGATGACGTTGTCCCTCCCAAAGTCAGATTTTTTTAAGTTGAGATGGAGTTGCGTTTTCTTGAAGACGGTGAACACTTCCTCAAGGCGTTGTATGCTATGAATCCCCCTCGGCGGCGGCCATCGGCGGTCGAATCCGCGGATGCGGCCAGTCCGCCGACCCCGTTGACGCGTCCGCGCGGCTTTGAAGCCACGTGGCGGCCGCAGGGAAGCGACTTTCGGAAATCGGGAGACGGCACGTGGCGGCGCATCCCCGGTCCCACCCGCCCCCACAAAAAAGAAAACGAAAAAAATCAACTTTTGGTTGGGGGGGTATGGGCAAAATCGAACGAAATTGGGAAAAAAAAAAACGCGTTTTTTTTTTTTTTTTTTTTTTTTTTTTTT